TCATTTAATGCACTGGGTATAAATAGAAGTGTTTCTTCTCCATACAGAGTGCGCGCATCTCTCTCTAACCTTATTCTTACTTCAAGCATCTTCTAGCTTAAGTAAAGGATCTTTCTTTTTAGCAATCTTTTTTCTTGTATTTGCTAAAGCTCTGTGTGTAACCAAAGATTGTTTAGATAGATTTTCATTACCATATCTTTCCGCAAACAGTCTTGAAAAATCTTTATTGATCTTCTCTATCAATATATATTTTAATTTTGAAAATAATGTGTTCGTATTCATCCCCTCCTTCTACAAACTGTTTCTATTCTTGTAGACCCTTACGGGACCAACATATGCCTCTGGTTGAACTATTGTAGAAGACTCCAAGTGTTGATAACCAGAGGGGTTATGAAGATGCTCGATTCATCGCATATCTGGTCGATTTATCGGCCTTCTGGTTGTATTGAACACTTAGTTGTTTTGCCTTGAAGTCTTCCATCGACCTTCTGGTTCTTCATCACTTGTTGTTCTTCATTACTTTTACAAATGTGAGTTATGGGGTCTAACAGATGTTGAAAACCTTCATGTGCACAAGGTACACATAATCTCAACGTACAAAGCTATTGTGCACAAGGATGGTTATTCTACTGAGAGGCCAATTCCAACGAAGCTGATGGTCTATATGAAGACGAGGGACGTCAGGGGGACATACAGACGTGTACGCGAGGCACTAGAACCAGTGCCTCGAACCCCTGGCATGCTTAGGGATAACCCAAGAGGGTGAAGAGGCAGAAAGGCCTTTACCCGAGGGGGAGGAAGTCAGGAAGGAGAGGGAGCAGAAGAGGAAGAGGCAGAAGGCCAAGAAACATAGAGAGAGGGAGGAAAAGAAAAGGAGAGAGGGGGAAGAAAGAGAGAGGCAAGAGCGAGAGGAGAGAGCAAGGAAGAAGGATGAAGAGAGGAGAATGAAAGAAGAGGCTCTGTGTCAACTAGAACAACTTTCAAGTTCTCACGCAGAAGAATCCGTGGAAGAGCAAGACGATAGTGAGGCTGAAAGCTCTTCTTCATCGGATAATGAAGAGGGTGATGAGGGAGGAGTGGGAGTAGCGGTTTTGGCTCCAGAAGAGCCAGAGCAGCCTAGAACTTTAAATAGGCACATATATTTTCCAAGCCCAACTCCCAGTGCAAGCACACAATCTGAATCTGTTGGTCGAGCAACAAGAGTCATTGAACAAGAGGCGCACATATCGAATCCTGACCAGCCTATCCAGCCAAAGGTCGAATCTGCCTCTGACCAAGCAAGCCAAAGGAAAACCACAATACAGGGCTTACCCTCTCAAAAGGGTGATACATTTGAAAATATAAGTGGCATGTATCCCCATGCCACGTCACTTTCCCATGCAGAGGAATTGGTTTCCTCTGCACTAGACATTTCCCAACCTTGTTCAGAGCAAGGATTAGGTGCACACGGCTTGGAGAGTCTCGACCGGTCTCATAGTCCAATCATTGAGGGTTATCTTGTAGACTCTGAATCTGCTGAGAAAATTCCTCTTGACAGAATGGTTGTAGTGTCTTCTCCTCTAAGACAGACATAAGGATCGGCCGAAAATCCTTCCTCGACCAATATCAATCAAGTCGAGATAGAAGGTGTCTGAGGAACATGGACTGAACCTGGCTCATGTGTTGAGCCAGAGGTTACCCATACAGCGTATGTCACAAAGGATGAGTTCCAATCCTTTGGCAACAATGTGTTGTGCTCCTTGGAAGAGCTAAAACTCAACATGACCCGTGCAGAGCCATCCCTTTCTACATCTGCTCTGGATGAAGTTCAATCATCCTTAGCAGCATTGAGAGCTGAGTCTTCGACGAATGCTACTCGCCTCGAACACTTACAGGAATTGACGGCCATAAATGAAGAGACCGTGTAAAGGGTCCTTGCGCACATTCAGAGGAATGTTGCATCTACTTCCGCTCAAGATTAGACAACGGTCAATCATCTGAGTGTCCCGACATATTACATCACCTAGATAGAGATAAGAGCTCTGGGTTATCGACTTCTTAAGAAGGTGGCAGACTACATCTCGGACTTCAACAACACGGCAAAACAGGCAGCCGTCGACATGCGTCGCTCTTTGGAAACATTTAAATTCAAGGAGGACGTGGAAATCATCAAGGCTACCAATACTGCATCCGACATCGTCGAACTCTTTGACGCTAAGGTCAAAGCCATGCCTCCAGCCAATGTGCAGAAGCCCAAGAGGAAGTCAGTGCAGCCTACTACTTGTGCAGAAGCCTCAAAGAAGAAAAGGCTTGATGACAATAAGGACCCAGACCAGTCTAGCCCTCAAAGTCATCAAGAGGGGGAGAAACAGCCTGCAGCTTTAAAATATACCATTCCTACTATTGCCCCCTCTGCCTCTACTCCTCAAGAGCCAGCTCCAGCACCAAGAAATCAACAGTCCAGGGCTGCGTACGCATAAACAGAAGAAGTCAGAGAAGAACCAATGCCCTCTGTACCAGAAGCAGCTAAGCCAACAGCGCACAAGATTGATGAAGAGAACGTGATCAAGCTTCACTCAATATACACCTCTTCATCATCATCAAAAAGTCTATCATCCTCAGGGGAATACGTCATGGAAACCGCTCCGCTCGCAAAGATTGATGAAGACGAAGTGGTGGTGGTAAACGTCATGGAGCCAGAAGAAAGGCTTCAAAGAACAGAATCTGCTCCTCTCTCAAAGGCGATACCACTAACCGCTGAAGTAACCATCGCTGCACCACCACTACACCGTAACACCCACAGAGCCAAGGTCCCTGTCCAAGGGACCAGAGTCGTTACACCTGCTCTAAGGCAGGAGGTCCTAGTTAGAGCCCGTCAGCCAGAAGCAAGCAGCAGTAGGCCTCAGAGCTCCAAACCATCCGCTGATCGAGTACAAGAGATCAGGGACCAAATGAACGTGATAATGAGGCCCATACCTTGTAAGAAGCTAATCAAAGACACTGCCAATAGTGAAGACTTAATTCAATATCTCTACACCCAGATAAATGAGACGCCCACTCTAAAGATAAATCTGCATCCAACGACTCAAGAGAATATCATGCAGAGGTTCCTACAATGCTTTACTCAAACAATTTCTACAGTTCACTCAGTAGGTGGCATCAGGAAGATCTTGGATATCAGAAGACGAACCTTTGCTCACAATCAGATAGTCTTTTACGAGTATACAGTAGAAAGGTCCCATGGGTAGATCCAAACTTTCACATATTGTGATCTTATTAATCTGAATCTCTGGGATCTTCTATCTATGTACTTCTTCACTGACCACAAGAAAGACAAGGGTATGAAATATGCTCTGGCGAACTCAGCTATAAGGTAGACAATGATGGACCTTCTGGATTACAGGTGTAAAATTGACTTCCAGGTGGCTCTTTACATAGGAATAGACCAACTTAGTGTCACAGCGCCAAATGAAGAACTCGAAGGAATTAAGCGTATCCCCTCGTGGACGGTGTTGGTCGAACTAGAGCATGGGGTGATCTTCAGGAACGAATAAGGCAGAAAAGTGTTCTTCCGTGAAGATCAGCGCTTCAAATATTCAAATTAAACTCTGCGGTTCATCAAGAACAATCTTCTAAGGAGCAGAGATACAATCTCGGGCGCAAAGGAAAGGTCGAGAAACATGATCAGATCCTTAGATAACGTGTTGGAGTTCCGTAAGCTTCTTAGAAGGTTCATGAATCTCCAACATATCTAGGCCTCTACCTTTGTAAGTTATGTCTATCTTTTGTCTTTTACAATTTCAAGTCTTGTAATTTCCTTTCATTGTATTGTAAAAACATTAGATAGTAAATGTAATACAGAGGTTATCTTTGACCTCTGGATTCGATTAGACTTGTGTATTCATTCCAGTAAGAGTCTGTCTTATTTACACTTAGGGGGAGATTGTTAGACCCCATCTTGTAAAAGTGTAAGTAAGAAGTCTCTTACTCTAGTCTGTAGGACTTAGTCTTTTGAAGATGTCTGGACCAAGAGCTTTCATGCACAAGACTCCAAGAGACAGAGCTCTTACTCAAGAAAATGTCTCATATACAGAGCCCGCGCTCTATTCCAAGAAAGATCAAGCCTAAAGTGCCAAATAGGTAAAGTGCTTGATGTAGAGCTTCACTTTAGACACAGAACCTCTGCATAGTACATGCAGAGCCTCTGGGTCTCCTACTCGCATGGAATGCGCGCACGGTTCAGACTTTCCTGCAAGTTCTCCAACAGAATCCAGAAGACTTGACTTAGTTCGCTCCTCTTTTTAAGATACAAGAATGATAAGAATGCGGAACAACAACTCAGAGATTCAAGCCAAGATTCTAGAAAATTCTATTTGAGCTTAGTCGTATATAAGGAGGCATCCTCCTTAGGTTACAAGTACCTGAAAGTGCCGAATTAGACTATAGCAAAATCTTGTGAGAATACAAATTAGATTGAGATTTTAACTGTTTATTCTTCCAATCTAATAAAAGCTTCCGACTTATTCAAGTTGCTCTTGCATTCTTATGTTATCTTGAATAATTGTTAAACCTTTGTTGTAACACAGTTTCATTTCACTCATACTCTGTTTATCTGTGTTTTCTGAAATTAAGAGTAATCTGAGATCCAAAAACGACATTAAAGGGTTGCTGCTAGTACTGGTAAATTTTTGAAACACCCATCGTACCCCATCTCAGATGGATCTTTGGAGAGATACAATTAATTTTCGCTGAGTGTATGGCTCCCGTATACCAACATGCAATACTTGGGATTGGGAATGACGTGGTAGGCATTGTTGTCATGGATATCGATGACAACGGGATGGTCACTCGAGGGAAGAATGTCATATTCGGCGGAAATGATGGAGGCAGGGGTACGATGGCATGTTCAAGGAATTCGATGGGAAAGATTGGGAAAAAGATGGTCCTACAACATTTACAGAAGTATATGTTGCTTTTTATTGGACATTGTTGTTTTGCTCAACCCTTTTTGCTGGCGACCAACTTCTGTTTCTTCTTCCAATCAAGCGATCATATCTTGATTGTTACCTGCAGAAGCCATTGTATTTCCTACACAAAAGATGAAAGTGTAAGTCCGGAAAAAAAACTTATTTATTTTGAATGAGAATTCTCAGTGGGAACCCTACGGTGAGCGCCAAACTATTTATGCGAAAAATTACATTGAATATAACTTAAGGTAGCCACATGAGACTAATCAACTACAGATAGAAGCTTCCGACTAAACAAGACAAACAACAGAAAGAATAAATAAGACAAGAGATTTGGTGATGTGGAAAACCTCGTCGAGGATAAAAATGGCAAATGATAATAAGTATCAACGATGCACTATATACGTCAATAAGGGACGTCGTCCTTAATAACAATTATTACTATTGTAGAGGTAGCAGGCTGAGTTTGCTGCTCAGATTCAGATAAAACATCAAAAGGTTGCTTCTCTTACTGGTAAGATTCTGAAACGCTGATCTTACTCTGTTTCGTATGGATCTTTGGAGGGATACGATTAATTTGGCAAACGATAACAAGTATTGTTGGTGCAGTATAGACGTCAATCAAGGACGTCGTCCTTAATAACAATGATTACAATTACATATCATGCATAAACACGAAGTGATGGACGTAAATTTAGGAAAATAATGATTAGTTCTTTTAGAGTGCTTCAACATTTTGTTCTTCGATTCATAGTAATGTTCTTGTTCTAGATGATCAAATGCGATTTGCTCGAATGTGTTTGAACCTTTATTAAGTGACTTGAGTATGAGTTTGTAACGGTTGTCCTTGAATGATCTCTATGATGATAAAGGTGGGATCTTAATGATATTCTTGAATGCTTGTCCTTGGTTACTTCAGGTGTATTAATGAAGTAAATCTTGGTAGTAAATTACCAAGACCTGCAATAAATGACAAAGGTAACGGTCGTTGAAGATAAACAATCATTAATGTCAATCGAGGAAAATATATTTATGATCTTGACTGTCTATGGCCGTGTGTTGAAGATATCGTCGTTGTTGAGGATATCGGGGATTACTTGGTGACATAAGTCTTGTCGACGATATTATCCACGATGATCAAGGTTCTGATTTTTTATCCAAACAATAAGTAGCTTCTGAACACATTTGCCTAAAATTTGATTAACATACTTCTTTAAGATGATATGATTTTAGGATTCTAAATTTACCAATAAGAACTAGAATAGTCCTCGCACAATGCAGCGAGATACATCTTGATTTTATTGTTTCATTTTTTTTGTCGCAGTCGATGTTATAATACGGTTTTATGTGGTTTTGATAAAGTGATAATGTTTTTATTTGAACAAAATATAAATATGAAGATATTATAAAACTGAATAAAAAAATACAATAAAATTAGGGATTCATTGGGATTCTCAAATTCATAGAATTAGAGGAACTCCTCTTCTTAGAGGAATTTCTGGGTCCAATGGAATTCATAGGTATAGGAACCACTACCTCCACGATGAGCGAACAAAAGTACAACAGCAGCTCTTGACTGTCCAACCCGAATAATTTAAAAAGTACCAAACTAACTATTTATTTATTTTTTTGTTTTTTTTTTGTGTATTTATGTAATGCATTTTTTTATTTTTGATTTAATATTATAATTTTCTTATAAAGATAATAATTAATTATTTTGTTAGAACTCGATAATTATCCTGGTTGTATTTTAGATTTTTTATATTTTAAAATGAGATGTTTATCCTCTATTTGATTATGTTTATCTGCAGTTAGTTACACGAATTCAAACATAGTGCTTTAATAAGTTGTATTTATGTATAATTACTTGTAATCTTAAATTTTAAGTAATATACATCAATATACAGTACTTCATGCATAAAAAATGATTTTTACGAGTTTTTGTCAAATGTATTATAATATAGTATAGATAAGATAAGTAATTTTTGATAGTTCTCGTTACATGAAAGTAATACCATTGGTTCCTAATAACATAAAAACAAAATATTAACGACACATCTTAAACTCTTCTTAAAAAATGTTATCGATATATATATATATATATATATATATATTAAATATATTTTACATTGCATTCACTTAAAAAACAACTATGGCCACCGAACAATATGTTTGAGCAACATTAGTTTTGAAAATAAATAATACAAAATGATATTTGTTACTTTTTTTCATAGTCACATTGGGTTGGGTTCTAGTAAAAAGAGAAGTTACAAAGAGATGCGTAAGAAGAAATTTCTACCTTTAGATCAATCCTAATTGAATATGTCAACTCTAATGAGATGCATCAAGATGTACTAGATCAATTCTCTTTTAAATCGTAATTCATGGATTGACATGATATTAAAAATAATCAAGGATTCAGATTTATTTTTATATTTTTTATCATAATTTCACTTCTAACACGATCTTTTTAAATCTAATAGTTAATGCATGGACTATCCATTCCCTTTCATTTATTAGGTTGACCGTCACCCAACTCAATTATTTGAGGTCAAATTTCTCGAACCAACTTACCTAGTCTAACTCTTTGACTATATACCCAAACCCCTATTAATCCTCGCATTCATATACCGAATGATTTATTGGTAAACTTGACTTACTGATGAACATTCACATGTGAATTACTGTTTTTGTCTTTAACATAACAGAATATAAAATTGTTTCTAACAACCGTCATGCAAACCTGCTAGTGAGGATACACAAAGACTTGGATCGGAAGAGTTTAAACGACATCACTCTGAGCTAAGGAGTCAAAATATTGAAGGACCAAAGTTCTTAGCCTTGAGACTCATTTCGTAACATGTAATATAACAAAATCGAGTCTGCTAATAGATACGTTTATTAGACTTAAATTTATAAAATCATACAGCGTACAACAAAATTGCCTTTACAAAACTTAAATTCAACAGGATTAAACTATAAAGCGTATTATTTAAAAGCACTACAACATATTTATAAAACGATTATAAGCATTTTAATAAGTTTTTTTTGGCATTGTAAAATAAATTATTCTATTAGCTATTTTATAGGACATTCTTAAGAAGTGTTGTATAAAATAGCTAATACGACACTTTATCTTCAAATCGTCTTAAAAAAATTCTTAAAATGCGTAAAAGTGTCTTCTAAACATATTGTCTTATAAAAGTATTGTAACAGTTTTAGAATCGATACTTTCTGATTAGGTCCTATAATATCAAGTCCTATAGAGTATTTTATTATAACACTTAGAAATTTTAGACGTCTTATAAAATCAGTTTTGTTACACTTACAATTGTAGGCGTATGATTGTGTAAGAAGAAGAGTTAATATGAGAAGCGCAAGAAGTAATCTGGACCATTGATCACCTTTAATCTTAAACCATCCATGAATCGTGCTTGATACAGGGATTGATCCAGTACATCTCAGTGCATCACATCCTAATGTGCATCAATGAGTAAAGATTATTTTTTACGTTTTTCACCTTAACTCTTATTCTCACTAGAACCCAACCCATCATATGTAAAACTGTTGTAGTGAAAACAGAGCACAAAGGATACCTCTTCATTTATGAAAAGGGAGCACAAATTGAATGTCTCTTGCAATTCCTTTTTTCATTATCCTTCTTTATTTATGTATCCTAAATGTATCTCTAGTAAATATATACACCAAATCTTCTCCAACAAACACACCTGATTTTGGCTTCCAAATGGTGATTATCACATCAAATTTGATGCATTAATATTTACATATTTTTTTCATTTTAAAAGAATTGAAAAAAAAAATACTTGAATGCAGTCATTATAATTGAATTTATAGTGTTTAAGTGTCTTAATAAAATGGTTTGGATCATCTTCAACCTAATCATTAAAAATAAAACCCTAAAAATATTTAAAAATTCATCTCCAACCATACACTAAAAAATATTTTTAATATTATAATAATAATAAAAAAATAATATATTTATTTATAAAAACTTAATATTTTCTACATATAATTATGACAAAAATATATATTAGTTTTTGAGTTAAGTACGCTAACTTTATTGACCTAGAAATATAGAAGTCAAGTTTATTGACCTTCTCTTTTTAGTGTGTTAGTGATGAGTAGAAGATGAAAACACCTTTATTTTTTGTGTTTTTTGTGTTGGGTTGGAGTTGTCCTTGTAGGATATAAGTTTAAAGTACCAAAAAGTAAAACGTCATAAGTAAAAGTTTACAATAAGTCTATAAGATGTTTTTGGTGTCGTACCAAGTTTTCTATGACACTTTTAAAATACTCACATTGCATAAACCGTCTTTTAGTAGGAATCTTGTCTTGATAGGATACTTCTTCAAATAGAATCTTATAAAATTACTAATATGACACCTTTATCTTAAAAATGTTCAAAACACCTTGTTACGACACTAAAAAACGTTGTGTAAACTTATTTTAACACTTTAGATAAGACACTTTATTTTGTGATCCTATAAACTTTTTGTAACAGTGTATTAAGACATTTAAGCAATTTAAACATCCAATAAACTCAATTTTGTTGTAACGAATATTTTGTTTGGTATTAGATGATATAAAATATTGAAATAGAAGTACCAGTTAAACAAAAAACTATACGATTTTAATGTAAAAGATGGTACGTGTTGATGGTTGAAATAGTCGAGGCCAATATATTTTATTTTAAGTATCTAATATTTATACAATAAAATTGAGTTTATAAAATGTTCAAATTGTTTAATTATTTTGATAGGGTGTTTAATTATAAGACTTAAATTTATAGGATCAAAAATGAAGTATCCTATCTAAGAGTGTTACAATAAGTTTATAGAATGCTTTTGAGCGTGACAATAAATTTTTTAGGATGTTATATTATAAAGTATTGTATTAGCTATTTTATAGATCAGTATTAGCAAAAATGTCCAATTGTGCGGTAGAAAGATGGGTTTATAGAACAATTCTCAGAAATGTCTTATAAAATAATTAATATGACTCTTAATGTTAAAATTGTTTTAAAAACTTATTAAGACGTCCCAAAGCGTCTTATAAACTTATAGCCACACTTTTAGATAAGACAATTTATTGTTTGGTCCTATAAAATTAAATCATATAAAGTCATCTATTAAGACACTTAAACATTGTTGGGATCTTATAAACCCAATTTTTTTGTAGTACTAACACATCTTTGGTAATGTTTGAGCCCTTGACTTTTTAATAGGCTCTATTCTACAAGTAATTCAAATACGATTAAGCCAAACACCTTTGGTATGTGAATAGTTTTCTCTTGAATGTAAAATGGATTTTCGCGACCAATATTATATAAATTAATTTTTATAAGAATTGCTAAAAGATCACATACATATACTATTTTAAGACATTTTTGTTAGTAACTTAACAAGTTTAATGAGACTCATAACTTATTCGATCAACTATACATAATTTTTGGGTAGTGACTTAATAATATAGAGAGTGGCTTATTTATTAAGCTTCCCGAGGGAACTTTATCAGAATGCCAAGTTTTTTCCAAAGCTTTCCCTCCCAATTAAAAATACCCTACTTTCATCTATGAAAAAACTTAAAAAAAAAAAAAAAACTTCCCTAATATATAAAAACATATTAATCCATACAAACAACTTTATTCTTGTAAGATTTAATGGAAAAACATGCAAAGGGTCCCTTACAGTACTTAAATCGTGACAAAAAGAACAGAAAAATTATGAATGGAAATTCTATATATTACAATATAAGTTTAGAGTTCTGTCTTGTGCAACAATACATAGGTTTGATGAAGATCATTCTAAAGAATGTTGCAATTACCTCCACTTCCATTGGATGGTGGATACCTAAATACTTGTTCATATCCATTTTCACAAGAATTAATGTTGTAATATACTCTTGGATTAACAAACACCTTATCCTTCCTTCTGTATTTTCTAACACTTAAAATTTCAGCAACCCTTCGTTTCTTCCTTAAGCGAGTTGCAACAGAAACGGGATCAACGTCGCCGATAACAACTAAAATCTCCTTCTCTAAATCCACAGATATCTCATCAACACCGGATAGTTCGGTAACCGTCTTCATTACCTCAATCTTGCATTTTTCACACTGCATCCTAACTTTTAGCTTTATCTCCTGCATTTGTACATGCAGATACATATATATACAAAAATAATAATTAGAAGGCTAAATTAGTAAAGGTAGATGTTTAGTGAGAGATAATACAAAATAGAAACATTACCTGAGGCATATTCTATATGTCTATAACATGTACCAAATTAATGAATTGTACTCCAAATGTCCCAAAACGATATAACATTTATATATATATATATACTCTCTTCTATGTTGTGAACATTATCATATCTAACAATTAATTGACTAAAGATATATATATATATATATATATATATATTCTACTATATTGTGAACATTATCATATCTAACAATTGACTAAAGACTTTTGAATTCTTAAGATGTCAATTTTCTAAGGACTTTCACCCAAATTGTGTAAACCCCCTACGTAAAGATTATGTCGTTGTCTTTATAATGTATGGTCTTTTTATGTTCAATTTTGATAATATTTTGTTTTTTTTGCATCATATGCCGCAATTTTACCCCCGGTAAGTAGTTATCGATAAAAGCCGTCACCCTCATTTTCTGAATAAGAGGCCATTTGCCAAAATCAGTAAATACTTACCCGTAAAATTCAAAACTATCACTTACTTAGTGGTAAGATTTTAGTCACAAAGAACAGCATAGTATACAACAATTTACTCGATAAGCACTATCTTACCTATCTATGGTAAGAATCATCGCCCTCAGTTACCACCCTCAGTCTTTATCTCGTTCTTACTGGATAAAATTTTTGGTCCTTTTACAACTGAATAATTGTTCTGTGTTACCAAAAGCTGAATAACTTTTCTGTCTTACGAAATGCTGAATAACTGTTATGTTTTGTTCTATTCTATCTGGACACTAAACTCACCTTAAATGCTTACATGTAAGCACATTATAAAGGGTGCTAATCATGTTTTTACCTGTTTAATACCAATAACGTGCTCATGTTGGTATTAGTGACCATTCATTCTTCCTCCACCACATTTTGTTTTGAGGTTGTATATTTTCGTTAGTAGTAGTCCCCACTGGTAGTTGTGTCTGAATGTAATTAATGCCTCCTTTTCTTGTGAAGTTGTACACATCAGTCCACTATGTATACAACACGTACTATTACTTATGTTTTCAGAACTTTTTAGGAATAGATTTGAAACAAAATCGAAGGAAAATAATAACAACTTTTCTTTCAAAAACTTTTTTTATAAATACGGATAGAAAGAAAAATAAATAAATTAAAACTTTTTCGGTACGAAGAATATATATTTATAAAAATGATATATTTTTTTTCTTTTCTTTCTTGTTTAATAACATGAAATATTATTTTTTCTCAATTTTCTTTTCTTTCCTTCTCAAGAATACAAATAGAAGTTATTTTCATTTTCCTTTCTCTTTGTTCCTTCTTTTTTTTTCCTTCCATTTCCTTTACTTATCGTTTCTTCCCAAATTCGAGAACACATCATTTGGTCTTTTAATGCATTCCCACTTCAATAAAATCAGGTTTATAGAACGTAAAAAATGACTAAATATCGTGATTGATTATTTTATAAGACTTTAAGTTTATAAGAACCAAAGAATGTAAAACGTTATATCTAAAAGTGTTATAATAAGCTTATAGGACGTTTTTGGACGTCTTAACGAATGTTTTATTTTTTAGTCCTATAAATTACTTAAGTCTTATAAAGTAATCGATTAGGATACTTAGATTGTTTAGGGACATTTAGCAAATGTTTACCGACTAAGTGCTTACATACGAGAGTCACCACCCTCACTTACCTTATTTGGTAATATTCTCTGCCATGAAAATGAATTGTTGTTAATCATCTCTCCTCCGATTAGCGCTAACTGGGTAAATTTTCTCTTTCATTTACATGGTAAGATTCTCAGTTTTTGTCATAGTAATGCGCTAAGGTAAGTGTCACTTAGTAAGGTCCTATCTTGTAAGCATTTAGTAAATGTAGATCCCAAAGATTTAAAAACATATCTAATTCTCACAATCACAATGTATAATTAATCAATGGAAAACTAATCAAGAACAAGTAACTAAGACAAGGAAGTCATTTGTCGTTGATTGATCAAAGTAGTTACAATGCTTAAGAGAGAATATTCAAAGGAGAGAAAGTTTAATATCAAGAACTTGTAAGAAAATTATCAAAGTGTTGAAAAGATTATATATATATATATATATGGGCTGGTTAAAATACTAACCCAAACTATTGTGCAAACTATGTTAACTGATCTTGATCGTTCTTTTTCTCATCAAACGGTCCTTATTAAATGAGACTACACAAATAATCATTTAATTAATGCATTAAATGAGATGTCTATGAACAACTACTCAAAGGGTAATTTTGTAAAAAAATCGCATCACATCGTGAACCTATATTATTCAGACGATTTCGTAACCTCYAATCAACTACGAAACTGCCAATCTATACGATMAATAGTGTATATCATTAGCGAAAAATCTGGTTCATAATATTCATCAAAACGATGGATGATTTTGGCAAAATGCATACAAGTTTGGATGTGTGAACCTAATGAACATCACAAACACGCAACACGCAACACTTCACAAATACATACAAGTTTGGATTTGTGAACCTAATGAACATCAACAATATGACATAAAACAGTAACGAATCTCAACGTCTACGTCTGTATTATTTGTGTTGATTTGATATCTGTTAATATATGTGTGTCTGTGCACAAATGTCTTAATGCATCCTAGTATAAAAAATGTAATCGCTATGTATGTGATCAAGTAATATAGCACAGTGAACATAATGAAGAACCCCTACACAAGCATGATATGATTTGTGCTATATGACATAAAACACTAACAAAACTAAAACTATTATTACACATAGATAATTAAAAAGAGCAACAAGGATGTGAATTTACTGAAATTGAAAACTTCGTGAAAAATGTATATTGTTTGCCATCCCGAAGTCAAATCTTTAATGAACATAATGAACAGCCCCTATGTAGTTAGTTTTCAAAACTAAAACTATTATTACAAAAAGTAGATAATTAAATAGAGCAACAAGGATGTGGATTTAATAAAATTCAAAACTTAGTGAAGAATGTATATTGTTTGTCATCCCGAACTCAAATCTTTAATGTAGGCGTGTTCACATTAGCGTGTTCATAGCTATCGTATGTTCATATTGGGACACTTATTGATTATTTTCTTCACTTTCGGAATTCGAATTCCGAATGTAACTTATTGATTATTTTCTTCACTTTCGGAATTCGAATTCTGAATGTATTCGTAGACGCTTTTAGCTTTTTCATTCTCATTATCGTCAATCCATTTTACTCTATGATTATCCATATTACTCGGACTATAACAGAATATTTACAAAAGGGACTTTTTCAAATTTACAACATCAAAACCATTATAGGAAGAATAAATGTAAAATTCAGTAAGATGAACACATGTGAAACTTAATGTCATTATTACACGAAGATCAATTAGTGATATTTTAAGATTTGTAACTCCCAATTAAAATATTTGGGAGTTACATAAGAATGATAAGTTACCTAAATACCCTTACAATTAATATGTGAGTTACATATGAACTTAACTAAAAGATGGAACATGATTGGTTGATATTGGTTAGCATAGTTTGGACAATAGTTTTGGTTAGTATTTGAACCAACCTATATATATATATATATATATATATATATATATATAACAAGTTTAGAAGATATAAGTTACATGACAGTTATAATACAGACAAATAAACTTCTGATAGTTGTTCAAGTATCATTGGGTCTTTTGAACTTGTGCCTCTTTTAAAGCTTGTAGAGTGTAGAATTGAGTTCATAAGATCTTCACTAAGTACCCAACCCTTAATCAACATATCCAGACTTGCTCTTCTAAAATCTAACTCTATTACTTTAAAACTCTGAGTCTTCATCGTTGCAACTCTCATTTTTCACAGCCAGACTTATACTTAGCATATTTCTAGGGATATCACTTTTCTGAACCAACATACAAACATGACTTTACAATTTCCCCTATTGGCATAAGAAAAGGACTTAGCAAAACCTGATCATTCAACTATTTGACAAAATCTCAGCAATACAAGATTTCTAAGATTCAATGTAACAACAATAAGTAACTTAATATGCTCATACAATTTTGGACACAACTCTTTCATCAAATGTTTTCATTCACTAGAAAGTCTTTTTATCAGGAACACATAGAATTTCCCTTGAAGTTTCAAAATAATCCTAAATAAATTTTGTTAGACCTCATAATTCTCATACGTAAAAGTAATGAAAAAGTCTAAGCATGGAAGTCTGGAGACCCGATGGAAATCCAGAAGAGGAGCTGGAAGTATTCTAAGAGCTGAAGACAAACAAAAGATGGTATGAAGACAATCCAGAGAGGCTATGAAGACCTGAAACAGTTAACCTGATGATCATCCACTATTGAAGAGTTCATCGGGTCAATGAACTTAGCCTTTCTATAACCCCTGGTTTTCAGCAGCTGAAGAATTGCACAAGTGTCAACCGTTGTTTGATCAAATCAGTTCTAACAAGTCAATACATGAAGAATCCTGATTGGACACGCTACCTGAATACAAATGGACGTGAATTATCTCCAACATAATTCTGTTATTCTAGGTAGTTAGAGATAATCATCATCTCTCTTAGATAGATATCTTTTTCTTGTTTGTCTCATAGATATCCTATCTTAGATTGTTATCTCTTAGACTAGACTGCTAGTATAAATAATAATTATATGTCTTGTAATTTGGTTGACCTTCTCATCATCATTATTATAGAGAATTATTTGAAAAAGCTTCATACGTTCTTGATTATTATTCAAGCTATTCATAACTTACTTCACTCAAAAGATAGATTTAATTTTTTCTACTTGAATCTTATTGTTAATTGAGAGATCTGGGATCAACAATTGGTATCAAAGCCAATTGATTGATTTTTCAATCAAAACGATCAATTTGAATCTGAGCATTCAAGATTCTCTCAATTTTCTTTTGGGATTATCCATTTAAATATTCAAACACAAGCTCTTCACTTTTATCTCTCTAAAAATTCTTCATAAATGGCCAACTGGAACTCTGTTTATAGCGTTGGATCTATCACTAAACCCCCACCTCTTCAACATGAGGAATATCCCCAATGGAAGATTCGGATGATAGACTTCTCCGAGGGGATGGATATAAACCTCTACAGGTCTGTCATAAATGACCCATATATACCCTATACTCTAATT